CTAGTGTAAATATGGTAGCCCCCAATCCTATTAGTCCTTCGTGTACTACATGTGGGGGACTCCATTGGCCGCATGAATGCAATATGATGACACACTCGGCGGCCCCTGGAGTGAAGGAAGTGGACGATGTACTTTTAGAGGCAGGGCTACTACAATCAGTCCTACAGCCAGCAGCAACACGGGAACTATGGGCTAGGAAATCGGCAGCAGTAGTACATGAATTATAATCATCCCCAAGCACCTCAAGCCCAACAACAGGAATCTCAGCGGTGCAAGGGAGTTTCAAGAAAGAGACTGCGCAAAAACTTTCTAGCTTTGAAGATACACTCAAGAAATTCATGACCACGACCATGACTTTCATGACGACTAATGCAAGCCTTCAGAACATGCAAAATGAAATGGGTTAGATCGCACAGGTCATTTTTGAGAGGCCTAAGGGATCCCTCCCTAGCAACACCGAGAATAATCCGCGAGAAAATGTTCAGGCAGTCATTTTGAGGAGTGGAAAAGAGCTAGAACCTACTGCCACAAAGAAGAAGCCTGATGAAGTTGAAGTTGAATCGGCTGCCCGAGAGGGAGAAAAGGAGAAAGAAGAAGGAAGAGAGCTGGCGGCTGCACCAAAACAGCCCGTTCTGGTCAAGAATTACAACCCACCTCTCCCCTTTCGGGCGCGCTTGACAAGGAAGAATGATAGTGACCAGTTTGGTAAGTTTCTGAACCTCATGAAACAAGTTCTGATTAACTTACCATTCGTGGATGCACTAGCGCAAATGCCGAAGTACACAAAGTTCATGAAGGATCTGCTGACTAACAAAAGTAGGGGAGAGCAAACCCGACCCTACCCGATTCACCCGATCGGATATATCCGATTTTATTTTTTGGGTCGGATAACCCGACCCGAATGACCCAAACCCGATCCGATTTTTGCAACCCGAGAGTTAAGCGGGTAGCGGGTAGGGTTACCAATTATGCTACCCGACCCGCCCGAAAACCCGAACTAGGGTAGTATATATACTACTTTGAATTATTATGCATGTTCAAATATTTCAATTATTGTATGCCAATTACCATATTATTCATATTCAAATATTCCAATTGCCGTATTTGTAAAACTATAAGTTTGAATGTTGTATTGTTATGACTTTGAATGATATTTTGACCAATTATCATTTTATTTATCACAATATCAAATATGTCAATCACCGTATATTATTATTTTACATGTTCAAATATGTCGATTACCGTATTTATACAACTATTACTTTGAATGTTATATTAATATAACTTTGAATAATATTTTTACCAATTACCATTTTATTTATCACAATTTCAACAATAATAAATTAAAATCCGAATGGACCCGAAAACCGAATCAACCCGACCGAAACCCGAACTTTTTCAACCCGAAAAACCCGATAATTTTTTTGATCGGGTAGGGTTTGAAATTATCAAACCGATACCCGAACGGGTTTACCATTTTTGAACCCGATCCGCCCGAACCCGACCCGACCCGTGCTCTGCCCTAAACAAAAGGAAGCTTGAAGAAGCATCGACCGTGATGCTTAACGAGGAGTGCTCGGCAGGTATTAGGAGGGATCTATTGAAGAAGCTTAAGAATCCAGATTCTTTCACTATTCCTTTCTTTATAAGAGATTTTTATAGGGCCCTGGCTAATTTGGGTGTTACGAGAGCTTGGTGGCAGAACGTGGTATGAGAGCGGAGTTTGCACAATTTGATATGACTAGCTGGAGTTTGTGGAAAACCCGTAATGAGAGAGTGTGGAAGAAATTAAACAAAAACTGGAAGGGAGTCATCACATCCAGCGATGCCATGCTGGGAGAAGCGCAGAAATCCACGCCACATGAGAGAACAAGAGCAGGGCAAAGAGCAAAATGCAGGCTCCGGAAACAGACTTTGTCAAAATCAATGTTGATGCCTCCATACCGACCGAGGAAGACACGAGAGGATTGGGGTTGATTGCTGGGAATAGCCATGGCGAATTTATAGCAGGGAAGAACGTGAGGAGATGGGGACGTTTCTCACCCGGGACGACGGAGGAACTGACAATCGAGGAAGCTGTTTGATGGGCTATGGAGCGTGGATGACAAAGGATTATCGTGGAATCAGACGCTCAACATATTGTGCAAGGGCTTTACAAAGGAGAGGGAATTCACTATAATGATACTCCCTCTGTCCCCCTTATGTTGTCCCGTTTTACCTTTTGGGAAGTCCCACTAATATTGTCTCATACCATATTTGGTAAAGTTTGAGTGACACATGATGGCTAAGTTTGCTAATATAAGTGTCCAGTATGTGCACCGTTCAGCAAATCAGGCTGCCCATATTCTAGCTCGGGAAGCCTGTTCTGGGTCTGTCGGTATTTGGATTGATAATCCACTTAATTGCATATTGATGTTCTGAGACATGATTTGAATTAATGAAGTTATTGGAATTTCAAAAACTTGCTTATTTTGTGACGAGATATTGTAATTTGATGTTTACATTAGAAATTGTACATATTAGATTTGAATCAATTTTGATTACAATTCAAGTAACTCATCCAAGAATTCTCAAATCAACATATTAGATTTAAAGACGATATGTGAATCACTGTGCATGATATGAGAATGAAGCTCATTTTGACAATTACTCTAACCCCAAATGGAATAAAAACAACAAAATAACATAAAAAATTACTAACACTAACTACTCGATACTAATTGATCAACTTAGAAGTCATTTGAAAACACGGTTTTTCGGCTTATCCGGCTTATCAGTCAATTTTTTCACCAAACACATAACTTTTGATTTCGCACGCTGAATTATGTAATGAGCAAAAAAAATAAGGTTGTAGTTACTTTTCTGACTGTATTGGCTGAAGTTACTGTAGATGACCATTTTAGCTATTTTTACATATACTTTTTTCTTTATTTTATTAATAAAATATATTTAAAAAAACACTTTTTTCTTAAATCAGCAGAATCAGCCAATGCGGTCACTTCATCCAAAACATCATAAATTTCAGCAAATCAGTCAAATCAGCCGATTTTCGTGTTACCAAACGGGCTCTTAATGTTGTTCGTTTAGATCCTTGCAGTGCTAGATGATCACCTCTCCTTTTCACAAATCCAGCCTCAATTTGGACTCATTTACTCCTATTTTGGAACAAAATTATTAATAATATCGGATAATAAGTGTTGCAACATTTTATTGGACTCATTTATTCAATTTATAATATTCTCTTCCAACCTATTTTGGTTAGATTTAATCTCTTACAAATTAAAGGTTGCATACTACGCAAAAGATTGTCAGGGTATGAAACATCAATACACATTATGAGATAAAATGATTCAAAATGTTACACATTGTGAATCATAAAATGTAGCCATTTAGAATTGAAACACCAGAAAGGAAATGGAATCCTTAAAGATAGATGAGAGGGGAGTTGGGAAGTAGAGGGGACACACGCAATTAAAAGGAAGGCAAGCTTGAAGCACACAAAAGTTTATGATGAGATTCTGATTAATACCTTTCACAAAAAACCAAAGAAGTTAAAGGTCATATGTATGGGTCCATGCACTTTGCAAATCTAAGGATGTGCAAACATTTTATTTGTGGGAGGAGGAATTATTATATTCAGAAATCCGGTGAATATTATATTGAAATTCCAACACACTTACGTATTGAGATTCAAAGTGCGTGAATTATATAACATGATACATTATTCCCACTAATCCCACTTGTTCCTATCTTTATTATCTTCCTGATTTTTTAGTAAACATTGCCTATGCTGCCACTAATTACTGCGAAATAGGAGTAGGCATTGACCAATTTACCAATGTAACATGTACTATGTATCTTAGTGTATCTTCCAATGATTTTTTGAACTCTCCAGATTTGCAATACATGTTCATCAATGAATTGGAACACTTGAGTCACAAAAGAAATGAATCCGCTTGCAATGGCACGATTATGTTTTTCTTGTCACAAATAGAAAGAGCACTTCTTTAAAGGACGTCTAAAAAAGAAACCAAAAAGTATCAAATTAATTAGCATACATAATAATTATTACTCGTAATTAATAACACTTGAGCATTAAAAATACACATAATATTCTAAAACATAATTCTAGTTCTGTTTGAATCATTGGTGTTATTTGATTGTTAATTTCTACATCTATAAACTAATTTTATTTCCAGTATATATATAACACAACAGAGTATTTTTTATGAAGTTGAGGCTTGGAATTGCAATTTAATTAGATAAAACAAATCCTTAGATGAAAACAAATGTTAAAAAAATTTAAAAAACATCAGCAATTGGGTTTTCCAGGTCATTCAGGTTTTACAATCCTGGGGTTTTTCAACTTTCCTGGGGTTTTCTCGTCTTCAATCATTTCCAGGTTTCTTATTTTCCGATTGGTTTTTCATTCGGGTTGATTCAATCAAGCCAGTTTTTAAAACATACTGAGCAGTAAAGACCAAGATGACATAACAGCAGATCATGTTAGACATACAGAACAGCAGATATGTGTTTTATGATTTTCAGTACTTTAAAAAAACATTTTCTGTTTCATGTATATAAATGTTTGGTAAAAAACATTGATGAAAGAAGCAGCAGACTTGCATGAATTGCACCCATGTACTCATTTGTGTCCTTTCTGTTATTGACTGAACTTTTTCATAATTGGACACAAATCTCTACAAAGATTATCTTTGGTAATGCTCTTTTCTGTGAGTATTGTTTTCTAGCATCAGGTATGATCTAACCAAAGGAATGACGTTTCTAGATAGCCACTAATAACTGGCCTAGTGGAGGAACACTTGCATACACAACCGAGTATATTCAGCATCAGTGGTCGATCGTCACAACACTGATCAACGACCATTGTAGACTGGTGGTGGGCAATAGGACTAGTGGTGATTGAAGGCACTGGCAGCGGTGATCAGCAACAGTGTCGGTGGTCAATTATAGGTTTAATGTAGCAGATTATATACTAGTTTAATTTCTTACCATTTCCATGTGAAATGTTCTGTCATATATAAAATCTAAACACAAGGTATGATATAATGCCAAGTAAGTCATGGACAATGTTCTTCCAGTTCTGTGATCGGGTTTTTTTTAACAGAAAACGAAATCAGGCAACTCAGTTGACTGGTTTTGAATCAGAACCAGCACCAGTGACTGATTATTAGGTCAAGTTCTAAATGAAAGAAACACACATTCAAAACATGAATTAATGAATTATTCCCATATATGAATCAGTCATACATAATCAAAGCTAAATACATGGAACAGCCTACGCATCCCCAAAGATTCCTGGGGCAACTGCCATTCAAAGAACAAGACGAATTTGTCATACTGCAGTTCATCTGGTGTAATCGGCCTTTTAAGGGGATTGATGGACTTCTTCTCCACGTCTCGTGATAGAGCTTTCCTCATATCTATCATATAGCGGAAAAGAAAAAGAAATAAATAAAGAAACATCTCTGAATTAAGATATACTACTTCCTTCCAGGGGAGGCTCCCCTACGTACCGGCTATGATAGGCTGAAGCCCAAGGTAACTTGAATTTATTTTCATTTAGTGTTAATTTTTGAAAGAATGGCTAAAATATTACCTATGTACTTTAAATGGACAAAAATATAATCATTTATAACTGGACAAAAATGTGACCTAAAGAAAAGTATACAGAGACCATCGATCTGCACCTTATCTCGTCGCAGCCACATCTTCCGCTTCGATCTGGAGACGAGCACAATCTTCCAGCACAACAATTGGCCAACGATCTCCAATGCCAATTTGTTCCCTTCCAGCTCTGCAACCACCTCCATTCTTCTCCGACTTCAATCGCCGCTGTATCTTCTCCATCATTCCTCTTCGACGCAAAATCTCATCGCCGACTTCAATGGATCCCCGCTGTCGTTGGAGGAGTTGATGTTGCTGCTGGACAATCTCATCGATCGGCGGCTGTGAACCTTTCAATAGGCGATGGCGGCAACGGTTCAGCGACGATGGTGGCGGCAGCTAGGGTTCGGCGATTTAGTTGATGACAGCAGCGGATAGGGTTCAGCGATGGTGGCGGCAGACTTGTCATCCGCTGAAAACCCAAGAAGATCTAGGGAATCATTGATGCCTCACACATCAACCCGACCAAACCCCACCTCTTTCCCCAGCCCTCTATCTCTTATCCATCTCCTAACATTTGCAACCATGCAAAGATTAGGTTTCTGTCTCTTTAGCCAAATGCATTAACACCCTCTCAGATTTCTTTCTTCTCTGTCAGTTACAAATATATGATGTGTCTTTCATCTTCGCCACCCTCTAAATATTTCATTTCTGACCCTACCCACTCAACCATCCTATAAATCTCATCAGACAGCGGGTGAGACTTGTCATCAGCTGAAAACCCATGAAGATCTACAGAATCATTAATGCCTCCCACATCAACCCAACTAAACCCCACCTCTTTCCTCACCCCTCTATCTCTCATCCATCTCCTAACGTTTGCAACCACGCCCCATTGTCCCTTCTCAGCTAACAAATTGGAAATCATCACATAAGAACCCGAATGCTTGGGTTCCATAGTAATCAGAACTTCCCCCACCCTCTTTGCCATCTCTGCATTCCCATAAGTCCTGCAACAACCCAGCAAGCTTTGCAATACAGATAGTCCGGGCCCACCTGGAATTTGGGACACCAGCTCTTCCGCCTCATTTAGTCTCCCTAGACGGCCCAGCATATCAACCACACAAGCGTAATGCTCTTCAGATGGTTGGATTGAGTAATCTCTTGTCATTGACGAAAAAATCTCAATACCTTCACCAACCCGTCCTTTATGACCGCATGCAGTTAAAACGGATAGAAACGTTATTGCATCTGGCTTCACACCTTTCAGCTTCATCTCTTTAAACAGAGCAATCACCGATTCATAATTTCCGTGTCTCGAGTGAGCTGAAATCATAGTCGTCCATAAAACGTGGGTTCTATCTGATGTCTCACGAAAAACACTTTCAGACTCAAAGATGCTCCCACGCTTTGCATACATGTCAAGAAGAGCACCCGAAGTGATTTGATTGGTGTGAAGCCCAAGCTTTATCAGGGTGGAATGACATCGTTGTCCCTGCTTCAAAGAAATGGATTCAGATGAAGCGATCGCACTCAAAACGCTCCCGAATGTGTACTCGTTTGGGCGTGACTCCATTATGGCAATTGAAAATGTTCTTAAAGCTTCTTGATGCATTCCATTTTGAGCATACCCTGATATCAAAGAGTTCCAAGAGATGATCTGTTTCTTACAGCCAAGCTCTTCAAAAACCTTCTTTGAGTCTTCTATGAACCCAAACTTACTATACATGGTCACAAAGCAATTGGTAACATTATATTCGGAAAAAAAGTTCGACTTTATGCAAAATCCATGAACTATGAAACCTTCTAATATCATATTGTTCATCGTTAGGGCGTGGACTAGCCCAACAAATGTCACATCATTAGGACGGACCCCGTTTTTCTGCATCTCATTGAACACTGACATGGCATCCTCTTCACACACAGAAAGTATTGTGGTCCAAGACACAACATTACGTTCATTCATTCTTTGAAAAACAATCTTTGCATCGTTTGGAACACCACATTTGGAATATATTGCCATTAGAACGTTACAAACTGAGACATGTGATCCATACGCCTTCTTTATAGCCAAACCATGTATCTGTTTCCCTAATTCCAATTTTTTTTGCTGCCCACATGCTGAAATTGCACTAGTTAGTGACACGTGATCTAGTTTCTTTCCTTCTTTAACCATTTCAATAAACATGGGCATTACCTTGGCCGAGTAACTCCCTTCCTGCACATACCCTGAAAGGAGTGCATTCCATGAAACCAAATCCTTACATGGCATTTCATGAAACACTCTTTCGGCATCCACAATTTCCCCTGACTTCAAATACATGGTAACAAGAGAATTTCCAATAAAGACCTCAAATTCTAATCCACACTTCAACACACAAGAATGCAATTGAAGGCCTAACATGAACATTTCTTGATATGTACAATGGGTGAGAGCTGTGGTGTAACTCACTGAGTCAAAAGAAACCCCAAGTGCATGCATTTGATATGTGAAACACAATGCGTCTCTCCCATTCTTGAACCCTGAAAGCATCGTGTTATAGGAAACAGTATCAGGGTTCTCCAGGTCATTGAAAATAAACAATGCGTGATTAAACTCTCCAGATTTGCAATACATATTCATCAATGAATTGGGGACAGTTAAGTAAGAAAAGAATCCGCTTCTTATGGCAAGACTATGTAATTGAGAGCCGAACTTTAAGCCTCCTTGGCATGCCTTGAGGGCTAAAGCAATGACAACTTCGTCTATTTCTGAGACTCCCATTTGAAACTGTTTCTTGAAGAGCTTAAGAGCTTCAAATTGATCATGGTGTACAAAATTGAGCATGGAACAGTGTGTAGACAGAAGAGATGTTCTGTGACTTCTATCAAACACGTGGTGTTCATTCTGAAACAAGTAAAAGGTTCTCACCAACCGTCTGGGTATTCTCTGGAGAGCTTTGGGATTCAACTGGCAGCTAAGCATCGGATGCAAAATGATGTCTAACGGAAACAGAATAAGAAACACATACACAGAGAAAAGAAACCAACTGAGAGGCCAAAATCTTGATTGAAGAACTTGACTTAATGGAACCAGACTGCAAGTCTGCAGCATAAAACAAGCATAAATCGTAGTAAGTCACTGGCTCACCGCCTAGAAAAAATCTTACTCCGCAAGTTTTTTGTTCTCTTACCTCATCCAGCTCAGCTATACTAGGTGGCCCCTGTCGTCAGCCACTGGTAGTAAGTCACTGGCTCACCGCCTGTGAGTATCAGAATGATAGTATGACTAAAAGTTGACAATATGGTTCAGAATGATAATATTTGACTGATTGTCATCAGAAAACAGGATGTCACTATTTAGCCTACCATCATCAAAATCTAGCATATCACTATTTGGTCTGTCGTGGTCGGTGTTGAGGACGATGGCATCATTTCAGGATGGTAGTAATGGCCAAATTCCGAGGACGGTGGCGCCGTGGCAGTAATTCATTTAGTTTTAAGTTTTGTATTATAAAAATTAAAGAGAATGTGATCAAATAAACCTTCAAAGTTCTATGATTAGGAATTCAACCACAAACACACCGCCCTAGTTAAGCATGTAAACATATTAAAAAGTACTCTGTAAGAGTTAAGCTCTATTTACCTAGAATAGCAAGTAATCTTTAGGTCGATGTCATATCACTGGCCATGTGGCCATCTCATTCGACCACATCAATATTGCCAACTCAACTATTTTATACATGTGTATCTTAACATCATATTTTTTCCTTTTTATCTTAATTTTTTCCTATTTTCTATTTCTTCATTATACTGTTCGAGTTTTTACTTTTTACTCTTCATTTTCTTTTACTGATAGTTATTCTATCTTCATAGTTGCATTATCTTTTTCTTAGCGTATCTTTTTCACGTATCCTTTTGTTTTTATTTCTTCCTTGGTCTTCGTTCTTCCCTTCATTGGAAATAAGGAAGAAGTAAGGATGAAGTGAGGAAGAATAGCATGAGAGTGAAGATTTTGAAGTTGAAAACAGAAGGTTGAGTTTTCCTTCTAAATAAGGATAGCTTACTTGTTCTTATTATTTAGTGTTCTTTTTTGGCAGTGGGAAGTGGCCTAGTGGGACTCAAAGTAAATCTTATACTGTATTTTTTATATATTAATTTACTTCGTATATAGCAGATCTTTTTATAAAAATGTAGGTTCTTCTTTGTTGTGTTTCATAAACATATTTTTATAGCAGTTTATTTAGTATATTAATATATTTAGATTTTACTTCGTATAAGAATACAGCATAAGAAAGGTTGAGTTTTCCTTCTAAATAAGAATAGCTTACTTGTTCTTATTTTTCTGTTTCTTCTTTCCTGCGAGGCTGCGACGGGAGTGGTATGGGACGAAGGTTGAGTTTACGAATGGTCAGGTAAGATGATTTGGGCTATATTTTAGTTGTCTAAAACTTTGTTTCCAAAAACTAAATCTGGGCCTTCAGTTTGGACTACGAAAGATTACTCTGTTATGTATGCTAAGGCGAACGCCTTAGCGCCAAACGGACGACTAGATGACGACAGGAGGACGCCATAGTCGCCTATTCTTCTTCCGGCAAGGTGACGGCTCTTGGCGACCCCTCCCGTCGCCTACGCGACGCCGTAACAAGTATGATTATAATACTCCGTACTATGTATGTATTACTACTACTACTACCACTACTATTACATGTGAACATCACATCAGCAAAGAAAACATACAAAGATCTTATCACCGCATTTAGAACTGGTTAACTATGTCAACAGGCAGGGGCGGATCTAGCATGGGCACCCAATGGGGGGCAAATTTAATAGGTATAAAATAACGTGTATTGCAACAACAAAAAGTCAAAGAAAAAGTAAATATTACCGGAATAAGAGTTTTCGTCAAAGTCAAATTCAAAAAACACCACAAATTTACAACTATTTTTTGCGGGCTTTCATTGTCTGATATTAATGTACATGTCTTATTGAATAATGTTAATTCCAGGCATTATCACATGGATTATGAAGTAATATGTTGGTGTTCTCCAAATCAATGCAGCAAAAGTGAGTTAAATACATTTTGATAAGTTGTTAGAGATTAACTAGAAAGTTACTACGTAATAACAAAAATTGTTTTTCCCTTTATATATGGATGGAAATTTAACTACGCTAAGAGTAGGTATGATGCATACATTATCAAACAACATATCATTTAAAAAAAAGATAACATTAGTCATTTTTTAAAAGAATTATTTGAAAATTATAAGAAAACAGAATCAACACTCAATATTTTTATGCTAATCAAAATTAACATTGTTAAAATAACTATACTTTTTTGTTGTCCATCTTCTTTGAGAATATAGAGAATATGCATTGTATTGAACGAGTGTGTGATAATCTTTTGTTTCAATGTTTAAAGAGAACACATTTTTCAGTATTATGTTTCAAGGGTTACAAAACGAAAGCATTGAAAATTTTAGTTGTAAATGATGACAATGAAAGAAAAAATGAGACAACTAGTATTGCATATAAAGAAGTTCTTAGATATGTATAAACTCGGTATCATCATAACATTTTATAGCATATATAGCTGTATTGCACTGGCATTTTATTTTGTTACAACTGTTTCTTTGCTTTTGTACTTTTCAAAATTACTTTTAAGTGCAAAATAATTTTTATTACTCCTTAACATTTTATATTATTAAAAAAAACGTTGTGTACTCTTTTAAATTGCTCCTTGTGATTAATATTTAAAAAAAAAAATCCACTCATACATTGCACAGGTGAGATACTACTAATACTAACAACAACTAATGAGAATATGGAATTAATACTAACTAATGAGATTAATAATGAAAAATCACAATCAGAACTTACAAATCACAATCTACATTAATAATAAGTACTGGTACTAAAAATGACAAGTGGCTCACTCAAATCAGAAGTAAACATAATTATAATTAAATTATTATAATTTATAAAAATAGAATTATATATAGCTGAAAGCCTGAAAGTAAGTATAAAGCCATTAAAGCCCTTCATAGAAAGTGGAAATCCTAATCTATGGAAATCCTAAATTCTGGAAATCTGCAAATCAAGGCTGTATTCTAAAGCTGAAAATAAAAAGTACAACAAAGCTGAACAATTAAAAAACCTACCTCAAATATGAAGAGGCGAAGAGCAGAACTACATAGGCGCAGAGAAGTCGAGCAGAGACCTAGCGGCTAACAAGCAGAGGCGCCCTGCGCCGACGGCCGAACAGCGTGATCGACGGACTTCGACTGGCGAAGAGGGTGAACGGACGATGCTCGGCGCCAGTCTTCGGCCATTTTTTATTATTCGGGATTTAGTGACTGGATTCGGACGGGCCTGCCTGAATATGGGTATTTGGGCCATTTGTTGTTTTTCTGGCTTTAGTGACTGGCGTTTTGGACGGGCCTGCCTGCTATCGATCAAGGGTTGTTAAATTCAAATCCGATTTTACTAAATATATATACATAATTAATAATTATAAAATAAATGAATACTAAAAAATAGTTGCAATTTAGTGATACTATTTCATTTCATTACTTAAAAATATATATATAAGGTCATAAACAGGATTTATAATCTATGTAAATATAGTGAATAATAACATTAAACATATGTAAAACATAAAATATTTAAATAACACAAGTATCAATTACTTTCATTAATTATATTATTGGGAAAATATTGTTGGAGTTATATATCAATATCTGATAGTTAATTTTGAATAACATTGAACCATTTTCTCTAAAAATCCTTTCTATGGTTTTGTTACAATTTTGTATGATTATATACGAAGTATAATTTTGAAGGATTTTGTACGATTTTACCTGCAATTTCAATTGACATATGGTACAATTTAAATCGAGATATTAATAATGAAGGCCCGGAAGAAATTTGAAGAGCGGATGGACCTAGCAATCTTCGCTAGGGTTCGAATTGATCGGCGGCGCCCCAGGCGATCGTCCGAGTAGTTTTTGAACAGTGTTCTCATGGTGTTGAGGATGGGGAGTGCGTGGCGTACAAAAATCACAGGAGGAGTCAAGCGGCGATGCGGCAATTGGTTGCATCTGCAGCGGACGACGCCGGATACTCCCCTGTCAAATGCGGCTCTTGTGGTTGAATGGATTTGCGAGCAGTGCTCTGCTGTTTCACATCGTGTTGCTTGGTTTCCACCCAGGAGAGATGGCTTGGATGGGCAGCAGGCTTGAAGGGGAGGGGAAGAACCTGGTTCTTCACGGTGGACGAGGGTCTATGGGTGGCGGCACTAGGCTTCTTTGGCTGAGTTTGGCGGAAGAGGAAGGCCCGTTGATTCGTCTCCCTCTTGAACCGCCACCTTGGAGAGATCCAGAGGTCAAGATTTGGTGGAAGATGAAGTTTCGAAAAGGAGTTTGGAGTTTTTATCAGTTATTTCTTTTTTTATGGATTTCTTTTCGTGTTATGCTTATTTATGTTGTTCGGTTTTTTATTAATTTCCTTAGGTTTAAGTCTAAAATAATGAGGAACAATTCTGCTAGATATTATATTGTTATAAGGATCGATATAGTCATGAAGTGCTGGATCATACTCATTTGGTGGTTAGCGATTCGTATCGCTCTTTCAGGGGTGGACGTTTCTATGTCTAGGCTAGGGGTGGACTCGGGCCGGTTCGGGTCCAGTTCGAGCCTGGGCCCGGCCGGGCCTCGGTTCAGGAAAGGGGAGGCCCGGAACCGGCCCGGGTAACCCCCGGATCGGGGTCGGGCCGGGCCGGGCCTCGGTTCAATTTTTTTTGCCTTTTCCTAATTAACCCCTAACCCCCCTCCCCCCAAACCATCCCAAACCATCTCAAATGACCCAAAATACCCAGCCCAACCCAAAAACTTAAAAAAAATTCAAAAAAAATGAAAGAAAATGGCCCGAACCGGCCGGGCCGGTTCACGTTTTGAGGGGCCCGAGCCCGGACCGGAACCCCAGCGGGTCGGGCCTACCTGAACCGGTCATTGGACGGGCCACCGGGCTGGACCGGAACAGTGCCAGTTCGGGCCGGTTCCGGGTCGGGCCACCCGGCCCGAGTCCAGGCCTAGTCTAGGCGTAGGTTGATGATGATAGTTGGTTACAAAGTGTTGTTGTCAGTATGAATGTCTTTGAATTTGATGTAACGATCTGAACCCTAATTATATTAATATAAGCAGTTTTCCTTTCAAAAATAATGAAGGCCCGGTCCACTCCTATCAGGGGTAGAATAGGATCATTTGTTGTTTATTATGGGTTAACATGCAGTTATGTTCATTAATTAAATAAATAAATAAATAAATAAATAAATAAATAAATAAATAAATAAATAAATAAATAAATAAATAAATAAATAAATAAATAAATAAATAAAGAAACAAACAAACAAACAAACAAACAAACAAACAAACAAACAAACAAACAAACAAACAAACAAACAAACAAACAAACAAATAACTAAATAAATAAATAAATAAATAAATAAATAACTAAATGAATGAATGAATGAATGAATAAATAAATAAATAAATAAATAAATAAATAAATAAATAAATAAATAAATAAATAAATAAATAAAAATCGTTAGATTCTTTAATAAACGGGGTCGGTGTAAGACCACTACAATTTTTCCCCAAATTATACACTTGTAGTTAATTTGTTCTTATCTCGCTATTGTGTTGATCACCTTTTCCAATATACTATGTTGACCATTTAGTAATACTTTTTGTGATATGATATTCAGAATATGTGAATAGTACAAAGATCGAACGATTATATATAACTAATAAAAAACAAAAATCTTCAAAGTGCTAATTTTTTCTAAATCCCATAAATCGGAAAACACAAGCGAAGAGGCGCAATAAATAAAAAAACTACTTAAGGAAGAAAGTACTTTATGGCGCCCAACATTTAAAAATAAAAAACTAGACTGAATTAACACAGTGTTTGTTTGATTTAGCCAAACTAAATCACAAAAAATTGTTCACAATTTAATGTAGTGTTATTCTTTTCAAACGAGGCGTTAAGAAATACTCCGTTCTAACTAAACTTTCATCAAAAGTCTGTGTAATTGTAAGACACGACTTGAATATGTATTCAGTATTCTAACAAAAAAAAAGGGATTGTAAGACAGATTGGTAATTGAGGGGAACATGTCCAAGTTTATAATTAAAACTTGAATTTGTAATAAATGGTTCATTCGTGTACATGCCAAGTGTATAAAAGCCATTTTATTTCCAGTATACATATAAAAAACGAGTATAATCAAATTTTCCTTTTTAGAACATTATTTGAAAAATGAGTTCTAAAATGCACACGTAGGGGACATAAATGATCAAGAGTGAATATTTTCCTCTGATTCGTGGCACTCTCATGTATCTCCCTCTGCCGCATGCAAATGACACGTACCAAAACTCACCCTTCAACTCTGTATATCTTCTTCACCACCTCCACACTCTCCAACTCAAAAAACAAAAGCAAGTCAGCCATGGCGACAAAGATCTCTATGTCCTTAATCTACTGTCTTATTTTGACACTATTCTTGATCTTATCCTTGAATGCACCATGTTCAACGGCGGTGCTGAGAGGTGGTGACGCGGCCGAGGAGGATGAGAGAGGCGGCAGTAGCAGTGGTGCCCTCTTCGTGAAGAAGGGAGAAAGGGAAACGGTGGTTTTGACGGAGGACGGAGAGATTTCCACGGTGCGAATTAGCGACGGGATAGAGAATGGGAGGTTTCATATCGAGTTCATCACTTTGGAGCCAAACGCCCTCTTCCTCCCTGTTCTTCTCCAATCCGAAATGGTCTTCTATGTTCACACAGGTAACTTTTATGTCTAATTAATCAGATTCCATCGCATGCAAGGACTTAAATCCAGTTTTAGGAACATGTTTGGCTAGGAAATTAAATTTGAAATTTTTGCGCCCAACCCCAGTATCTAGTAAGTTAACTCTTCTAATGTAAAGATTTCAGTTATCCTTGAAATCAACACAGCTCTGTATTTTAATCTTGGATTTTGTATGGGAAATTTCTTGAAATAGGAGTAAAAAATGTAAAAATTTTAAATTATAGAGTAATGATAATGATAGTAATCAATAATGTCCTCATTAATACTTTCATGCTTATCAGGATTCAGGAGGGAAGGTTAACTTTATTTTCGAGTGAACTCAACCAAAGAAATTAAGAGGGCAATTTGTTGGAATTAAGTTTTTGTTAAATAAGCAGGTTTTTGAGCTTGAATTTATTTTCTGTGTTTGTGGAGGGAGTGGGCAGATTAATTGGACTGATGGAGATGAAACCAAACAGCTGGAATTGAGAAAAGGAGATATATATAGGCTGCGACCGGGAACTGTTTTCTACATTCAAAGCAGCTTAGAGATGGAGAGGCAGAAACTTAGAATTTATGCCTTCTTTGCCAATGCAGAAAATGACTTGCATGTATGCACCTTCCCTTCTTCAATCCCCCCTAAATGTCATTCTTCACTAAATAACTATGGCAGAAACCAGAAATAAAGCTCTATTTGGATTTGTGGATTAAAATATATCCTTCATGTATATTAGAAGTTTTACAAATATGTTTTTGTTATCTGTCTCAGGAACCAGCAATTGGACCATACTCAAGTATACGCAGATTGATTCTAGGCTTTGATAAAGCCGCTCTATCAGCAGCCTTTGGGGTAAGCTCGAGTTTCATAGTGTTCTATAAGTTACCACATTTAAGGGTGCACTCAGTTTGGTACTGGTTCCCATCCCAGTGGTAATGGACTAATGGGGAACCTGAACCTTAACCCGTTCAGGTCCGATTATCACCCTAGTTTGAAAAAGAGAAGTGCCTGTTCAGGGGCCGTAGGTCCTGTTCTTTGCCCTCCTAGGTCATAACCGAACTTAAACCTAGTCACATGATCTAAATTGAAACAAAGACGGGTGAAGGTTAAAAGTGTTTTGTGTTTGAAGGTTCCTTTGGAAGACATAGAAGAGATTACTGGCGCTGCGGATCCTGGAGCTATAGTGCATGGATTGGCAAAGGCCAAGAAAACAGTGGACATGGAATTTGATTTCATCAAAGCACTTCTAAGTGGCAGTGGCTATATCAGCTTATATCATGCCCAAAACAAGAAAAAGACTAGACAGTTCAATGTTTTCTCGAATGACCCCGACTTTGAAAACTGCAATGGGTGGAGCACAGTAGTATCGAAGAAGCAGTTGTCTGCATTGAAGGGCATTGATATTAGCCTTTTCATGGTAAACTTGACCAAGGTCAGTTGTTGTATGCCCTGCATATACAGTCCCATCAATCCATCATTTTGGGGTTCTTGCATATTTCTGATTCCAACATTCATGATAAATGTTTTTTGTATCAATAGGGCTCAATGATGGGGCCACATTGGAACCCAAGGGCTACTGAGATTGGAATCGGCTTACAAGGACAAGGAATGGTCACGGTGGTTTGCCCCGGGCCGACAAACAGAACAGGCTGCAAAACCATGAGGTTCCACGTCGAGGAAGGTGATGTGTTTGTGGTGCCGAGGTTCCATCCCATGGCTCAGGTGTCTTTCAACAATGACTCATTCATTTTCATGGGATTTAGTACGGCGGCAAAGAACAACCATCCTCAGTACCTGGCAGGCAAAGCCTCTGTGTTTCAGACTTTGGACAGAGACATTATATCCGTCTCTTTAAACACCAACAACAAGACAGTAGATAAGATCTTGAATCAGCAAGAGCAGGCGATAATCCTGGACTGCACATCTTGTGCGGAGGAAGAGTTCAAGATAATGAAAGATGAAATTGAAAAGTCAAAAGAGGAAGCAAGGAAGAAAAAGGAAGAGGAAGAAAAGAAGAAAAGGGAAGAGGAAGAAAAGAAAAAGGAAGAGGAGAGAAAAAAACAGCAAGAAGCTAGAAAGAGAGAAGATGAAAAGAAAAGGCAAGAAGAAGAAGCTAGGAGAGAGGAGGAAGAGGCAAGGAAGAAAGAAGAGGAAAGACGACAGGAAGAGGCTGCCAGAGAGGCAGCTAGGAAAGAAGAGGAAGAAGCTAGGAGAGAGGAGGAAGAGGAGAGAAAGAAACAAGAAGAAATGGAAAGGCAAAAAGAAAAAGAAGAAGAACGAAAGAGGAAAAAGGAAGAGGAAAGGCAACAAGAGGAAGAAGCTAGGAGGAAGGAGGAAGAGGCAAAGAAACAGGAAGAGCAGAAACACCAAGAAGAAGAGGCTGCCCGGGAGGCAGCTAGAAGGGAAGAAGAAGCTAAAAGAGAGAAGGAAGAGGCAAAGAAAAGGGAGGAACAAAAGAGAAAGGAAGAAGAGGCAGCTCAAGAGGCAACTGAAAAGGAAGAAGAAGCAAAGAGAGAGAAAGAAGCAAAGAAGAGAGAAGAGCAACAAAAACGTGAAGAAGAAGCTGCCGAAGAGACAGCCAGAAGGGAGGAAGAAGCAGCTAGACAACAGGAAGAAGAAAGAAGGGAAGCAGCAGCTAGGCAACAAGAGGAAGAAAGAAGAAAAGAGGCAGCTAAAAAGGAGGAAAAAGCTAGGCAGCACGAAGAAGAACAGGAGGAAGAACGTGAACATGAAGGTGGTGGGTGGGAGTGGGGAGAGGGAGGTCCAAGCATAGAATGGGGAAGAAGAATCATGAAGAAAGCTAGGGGGAAGACTTTCATATTGCCCTAATGACTCAGTTTTCCAAAACTTGTTGTGTTCATAGTTTTTGAATAAGCATATCAGAACTTGTTCTTGCATTGACCCTGTGTCTGTTTTGCAAATAACTTTTGTCCCCAACCTAATGTTATAACCACTTTTCATTAGCTTTGGTACGAATCAATGAGGGGTTCTTTTTGTTCCGTCTATTTCTCTATCAGTTGTTCAGTTCTGCCAAACCAAACAAAGGAGGGACGGCACTTTTAGCCCCTAGATTATATAGTTTTAGCTGCTATTTTAGCTAGCGTTTACTCCTTTCGTCTCACAAAGTTAAGCCGATACTTATTTTACAAGTATTAACAAACCGTGTTCCATCGACTTCACAAGCAAATACGAAGCTTTTTAGAAAACAAAAAAAAAATGTTTCACATTATGTATCATTTCCTGTCAATGTCAATGCCTTTATCAGCGAAACCTGGCATCATCTTGAATTCTTGATTATTTGGATCCAATCATAGGTTTTGGCATATGGGTATTCTTGGGTTCTGTGTGAAATTGGGGCAGTTTCTAGAGGGGTTAGAATAGGGCTAAATCGTTTGAGGCTTAATGAGAGCAAAAATGAGAAGAAATTGCAATTTTGGTACCTGGATTATTAGAGGCTTAACACTTAATACAATTAGGTAAAAGATTTATACTTTTATAATTGCTTTCACGTGAATTTATATTTTTCATCATTTTCATTTTTCAATGGAGTCAAAGACTCACTATTTTTTTCGTTTGTGATGACTCACTAAACTTCTATACTCATTTATTAATGTGTTATTAAGCAACAAATCAAACATGCAATTTTCAATGCAATTTTCATCTAAGTCATCCGGAAACAGTCTTTTTGTACTTTGAGGTAAGGTTGCGTACATACGATTCCATTATCTCACCTTCAGTGAGAGCCTTTGCGGTATTGAGAATTTATAATTACACAGTTCTTTGACGTTGTTTGATGTGAATTTATAATTACACAGTTCTTCGGAGTAAGATTTTACCATTCCAGTTGCAATCTTTCAACCATATCCGACCCTAAGTAGGATGTCCAGTTTAACAACCTTGATTTGTGCTCAATCATCAACAAGTACTTAAATCAAAATTTACAAAACTAATTATCAAATTGCGCATTTCTTTATCAAAAAATCAGTCAATATTTTTAGCCAATAGAGACTAAAAGATCCAATAAAAAAGGAAAAGCAGAAATTTACTGCTTATGCAGCAGTCGAGGAATGAGTAATAAAAGAAACGATAACAGTAAGGTCATCTAATTTACCACCATAGTAATGAAACCCGCCTTTTTGTGCTGCTTCAGCGAAGGGAGTTTGCCTTTTGCTATCCAGAGCTCTTTGGCGTGCTAAACCTGTTATTTTCTGAGCAGTGGTGTCTGGGTCCAGGCCAGATTTTACTGCATCGTGAACAACACGAGCTATTTCATCTTTGTATAGGTTGTCAAACAATCCATCAGTCCCCGCAACAATAACATCTCCAGGTTTAACATCAACTGCGAAAACCTGATGAATGCCGGATGATGAAAAGCTGTACAGCCTATCCGCATTTGAGGAAAATATACATATGTGTGTGACAAGCTGGGAATATGGGATTTTTGCTACTTGCTAAGACATTGAATAGTAATTAAAACCCAAGCACAGACAATTTTATTTTTTATTCCAAGTCATACAACTTAAACTATGCAAAATAATAAGCAAACAGATTAAATGATGCAAATAAGTAAATAGCATGGCAATCCAATAAAATTGTACAACCTAATGTCCTTAATGGATTTGCCACTGGTTGTTGCAACCAAGTAAGCAGAAAAAAAGCAGTCGTTTTATATTTTTATTTGTTTGCTTTTTTATATTGTGTGGGTGGGTGAAGGGAATATAGGAGGATTAAGCAATAGCTCAAAATACCTGACCAGAACTTGGTAGATCAGCATTACTGTTACCGCCACTGCCACTTTCAAGTTGATATGGACAATTGAAACCGTGCTGCTGAACTGGGGATTCAAAGATGGTGCGCCCATCCCTAACCACAACAAAGCCACTGTCTCCAAGATTAATGGCACGAAGACCCTATTTGAAAGGAGTACCAGTTACGAATCAGTGTTTATACGATATTATGATTTGAACTTATTTACAAGTCTTATTATGAGGTAGCCTGGGGGTAACACCGCAACACCCAAATCTACAAGAGAGCCTCAAAATATGAGAAGTCTCAGCATACAAGTTTGAATAGCCTTTTTGGGTCCAGTATCAGTGAAACGTTCCACCATTTTTTTCTCATATAAACAATAAGACTATCTAAAACTAAGAAAATCTTCATAAGAAAATAAAACATAAGAGAAAATAAATAATACTCCCTTCATCCCACTAACTTTGTCTTGTTTTACCTTTTTCGTCCGTCCCATTAAGTTTGTCACATACTCTATTTGCTAATACTTGGGTGGTTACAATTCATTCTGACTTTATTCACACTTTATCAACTCAATACCAACCACACAATTCCACTTTTTCTTAAAAGTTGTGCCACACTTCTTTGTCCCAATTCCCAAACATGGTGGGACGGAGGTAGTAATATGAACTGCTTCAACCTCAATATGCCAGTTTTAGCTATTTGTTCAAACTCATTTTATTTAAATATAGTTTAAATCACATTTGACTTTCCCACATATTCTCTATTCTCTGAAGTGAAAACAAACATTAAACAACCCTTAGTACGTTTTTCATTTCTCTACCATTTTCAGAGTTCAAAACGTAGACTAAAGGTAGCTACAACACTCAAATGTGCATAACACAGTTTTCATCTATGTAAAATGCAAAATATGAGAATAAACTTCTCACAAAAATGAACATAACATATTGTTTTTTTCCTCAAATTGGACTACAAAAGTTGATGGGACTGAAACATATATGATTGACAAAAATACTGCGTATGCTACTACCCTAAATAAATTGGAACCTAGACATTAAATTTATTGACTATACTCCGGAAGCTGCAGGAGGTTACTGCGACCTCCTCCAGAAAGTTTCTAGAAGGTTGCCAAACAACTGCCTAAAAATTTTGCCATAAATTTGGCAGAGAAAGTCCTCGGAATCCACTGCCTTAAACCACCCTCCCTGCCACCACCAGTACCAAAACTAAAAATTAATGCCCAAGAAGATTTAGTTTATAAATATCTAAAATCTGCTGCGTAAGCATGCTTTGGGTCAGATTATTACACTTTCCAAACTCAGGGTTAGACAAATCCTAGTAAAGCAATACAACATAGATCGTCCTATTTTTTGATAACTTTTAATTTTAAGTATTAAAGAGAGCAACTCTTTCATGATAGTATACAAGGTGGGGGGCTAGGATATGGACAATACGGGTGACATCCTTATGCCTAGTAATTTTTTTTTTGTATATTCTGTAAGCAACTTGCTTTGCTTTTTAGACCCAATAGTTTTTTTGCTTATTGTAAAAACTTCAACAGCAAAAGGTAAAAAGGCTAAAACGGAGCGAAAAATAAAGAAGTCGAATATCGATTTGAAATACCATGGAGAAAGAATCTGCCTCCCGTTTTAAGAAATATTACAGAGTACTACCTCTGTCCCATTTATATTGTCCCTTTACGGTTTACGATGTTTGACCGACGATAAAGAAAACAGATCTCTGTCTGCACTCAAATTATTTTTAGGAAAAAAAAATTACATATTCAGAAACTACATTTAAAGCTTTACAAAGTCGAAAAAACCTGAATCAAATTTGATAAATTTTTTATATATAAAGTAAGAAATTAAGAGTGGTTTGTGTTGACCAAGTGAATAGGAACTGGAACAATATAAATGGGACGGAGGGAGTATTATTTTTATTTATGATGTGATAGTTGTGTTACTCTTTTTATTTAAATGTGCAAGCTATCGCATCATAAACCAAATCTGGTTTTCATTGCGGCTTTTATGTAGTTTCTTATCCTTCAGTGTTTTAAGAAGTACTCCGTATGATTTACAATCTCTTTGAAATAGGCCTATGACTGAGTATGGCTCATAGGCCTCGAAATATATACATACATATGTGTGTGTGTGTGTGAGAGAGAGAGAGAGAGAGTGTGTGTGTGTGAGGTCAAGGTTTCAAAAGGTAAATAAAAAATACCTTGCTAGTAAGTACTATGATACAGGCTGTAGAAGAGCCTTGAGCATTTGTTTTTGAATGTGCTTTCTTTAACACCCGAGTTGGACTGATTGAATCTTTGGGTTCATGCCGAAGAACATCGACTGAATAAGACATTAGTTGGCGTGCAAATTCTCCTGCATCAATGCCCACATCTGCCCATCCACCAACTCCATCTGCTACACCAATTGCCATCTCATCTTCACAAATAAAATGAGCATCCTCTCCACCAGTTCTTACTTTATCAGGATGTGGAAGGTAGCATGATCCAGATACTAGCTTGAGAGGTCCATTACCTACTGCCTTCCTGATTATCCAAAGAGAGCAATGTAATCAGAAAGTGCAAACAATATTTTAAATCTAGATCAATCAGCGATTTAGCATTCTAGGATGGTGTTACATTTACCTTGTCAATATAGTAATATTGCCAATTTCACTGTTTCTAATCAGAGAGATACAAGCATACAGCTATCTCAAATAATTGATGCATGATCGCGAGTGGAAATAACCAATGATGATGAAGATTTGGAATAGCATCTCATTATTCTTTTGTAATAAAGTTATGAAATTAAGTGCATCTAGCATAAAGCTGAAATATCTCTCTCTCCCTTTTTGCATGAGATTTATTGTGTTTAACTATACTAATTATATACAATCAATCATCAATCATCATTTACCCCAGTGCCGCAAAGGCTCCCACCTATGGTGGGGTAAGGGGGGGTCGGATGTACGCAGTCTTACCCCTGTACTAAAGCACAGAGAGACTGTTTCCGTATGACCCATAATGAAAATCGCGTCCAAAAATTGCATGGACTGACTGCTGCTTCATAACAAAGGAGCGCAGACAATTTGGTGAGCCATTTTGCTTTATTCCATCATATACAATAACTTTGACAATTTGACACTAAAATTTTCTCGGCACCGACCCCAAATCATAGAGATTAACCTGCAGATGATAAAGATGTAGAATCAACTGCTTTGAGGAAGTAGGCCGTAAATAAAAGTATAAATCTTCTACCGTCGCTTGGACTCTGTGAACACTAACAAAATAAGGCCTAATATTAGAGCAATCCAAATACTGTGTTTCCTCACTCATGTAAGGAAATTTGCTTTTTCCTTCAGCAGGGAGAAGAATTTTGTGAATCAGAATCTTTTTCAATGATCAAAATCAAGAGAAGAGACCAAAACGATAAAATTTTTAACAAAAATCTGAATTGAAATAAAAAATAACTATTCACAAGCATATGAATCCCATTTATTGATAAACAAAGTTAGATATAAGAGATGCATCAAAACTATAGACAGAATGACAGTATATCTCCAGAGTCCAGGCAGAGATGGTGGTGAAATACAACAAAAGCAACAAACACACCAGAGCACATACTGTTCAATTGGAATTGCAAGACTTGCAAGGTGCTCATTTGGTAATGATCCGTCAGAACAAGTTGGAGTAGACGATGTACAGTAACTTTTCAACCCTCTTCTAGTTACCGGACAAGATATGGATGACCCGTGTGAAACATCAAATATGAAGGAAGATTTCATTTTCCTAGATTCCAAACTCATACTAGTTTTCCATATTCTATCTCCAAAATAGACACTGGCAGGGTTTGCAGAGCTTGAGATTAAGCTATCCACCACAATATCCCCCAAGGCAGCTGTGGAGCCAGGAACAGCCATGACTCTAGTATTACATAGGTAGCTTGAATATCTGCAATTCCAGGTATGACTACTTTGTACAGGCAGAGACAGAGTCAGATTATATCTCCCAATTTGTTTTACACTAACTGCTCTTTGAATGCCAAAAGTGAATGAAGAGTTCAGACTTGAAAACAGAGCAGAAGGCATTTTTTCCCTAAAACAAAGCAGCACAGTAAGTGGCATTATTACTTCCTCAGTTCAACATGTTAATCTTGGATAAGTCACATATAAAGTGTTTTCTGTTGCAAAGCCCTGCAGATCAATATGGCCACCCTTCACAACCACATAATTTACCAACCGGGTTATGCATCAATTCAAAATACTCAGTACAGGAATCCAGATATTGTCATTTTCGGTTTGCACCGTGATAATATGAAATAAAAATACAAGTTCATAAATTGAATGTCATGTTGTAGAAGGTCCCGGGTCAACAAAATTGCGGTTGTGAAACTACCTGATAGATTAGAAACTATGTATGCCAAACTTCTTAGAAACCCCAAACCCCTTCAAAAACCAAAAGAGAGCATTGTTTAACAAAGAGGGCACCAAAATAAACTCCAAATCATATCAGCGGTGTTCTTCGCCTATGACACTATGCACGCTCCCGAGCAGCCGAAGCTCAAAGAACCAATTATCAGTGTATTTATGAAACACCCTCTCATAAAGTATGTAAATTCAGAAGTTGTGTGCTATGAAACTTATGTATCTCAATTAGTCAATAGTTTTTCCTAAAACACAGCAATTTACTACATTATCGTATTAATAATAATAATAATAATATAATGTGATGATAATGAAATGATATTAGAATATCATAGATATGACCACCAATTTATTATGTCATCAGAAGCTTTTTTATGTCATCGATCATGATCGACGTAATTGTTAGTGTCATTAACCTAAACAATATGTCCTACAATAAGGGACTATTATAGACTTAAGCAATTTGGTTTAAAAGATTATTTATTGACTCCGAAAACATTGAGTAATAAACTTCATATATACAATACTCCGTATTAGTTAAAAACAGCTCTTTTGTAGTGAAAATTTTCATACACCTAAGATAACCAAGCTTCCTAGATGTGGTCAAAATTCAAATGACACCATGTTTTGTTCAATTGTATTATCACAATCTTTTATTTTTAATCTAGTCAGGCCCATTACATTGGAGATCACATTTTTTGAAGTGGCAGATATCCAAATCACATTTTTACATTTGATTGTATAAGAGAACTATATGCAATTGCAAGCAAGACTGAAGAGCGAGTACAGACATGAGATAACAATGTGCTTGGTTATTGTGCTTATTACGTACATGGTCTTATACATCAGCGCTGCGTGATGATTATCTGGTACTATTATTTCTGTTTAATTACTCCACCATGCCCATACCACAGTGATTGTATAAATTAGACAATGAAAGCACAATTCAAGTTCAACTGAGGTTTTTACAGAACTGCATACACATGTTGTTTGGCCATTAACCTTTGGGAGTGTTTTCCTTTGCTTAAAAAATGTATTTTTCTGATCTTAGCTTTAAATAGCTAATAGTAGTGTTTTCAAATAGATGCGTCTACTTAAATTAATCTTTATAGCTAAACGCTAAATGCAGAGAAGGGGTGTTTTGAAAATGCATTTCACTTTTTCTATTGAAAAATTACTTTAAGATCAAACACTTAACTTTTACTTTTTAAAAACCACTTTTCTTTCTAAACATTACCTACTTTTACTACTAAGCATTTTTCATATAATTACTTAAAATAAATCAACAAACAAAAACAATCTTTAATAATGGTTGATTTGAAAATTGAGGTATTATCGCACTGGGTAGATAGTAGAATTAATTACCAATGGCTCATAAGAAATATATTTTGAGTTTATAAATTTGGTAAACTCTCATACGCGCGGTATACATAACTGAAATATCACCTTTCAGGGGATTTATGTTCCTTCGAACGACTTTATGTGCAAATTAAATTAATTATAAAAAATCATATCTTGAAGTTACATATCATCCGATGAAAGTTAAATCAATGTAAAACTCGAATCAAAACTAGTGACAAACCATGACCACAAAAAATAACACATACCAGATGTAGGGAATTGGCAATTTGGCTAAAATCTAAATGCCTGCGCGCTACTACGTTTTTTTTAGAATATATAGTAAGGTTAGACGCTGATGCAGGGTAGAAAAGAGCTATACCTGAATCAATAAGGAAGAACGGTGTGTTACCGGCCGGTGATAGCGAAAAGTTTGAAGTACTGTGAATCTGACGGAAAATGAGGGACATAGCCGAGTAGAAGCAGAAGCTTGTGGTAATTGCAGGATGGTGATGATACGGCTTCATGAAAAGAATTAGATTTGGGCTTAATGTAAATCCAAATGTAGTGTACAATTGAGTCGAAATATTTGGCTGAGCCCAATACTCTTTTTTGGTCAATTTACTCGATTAAATAAGTGAATAAATGCTATGTGATATGTATACTTGTACATAGATTTTAGTCTCTTGCTATAATGATATTATATCATAGATTTTTTGTTTGCTACACTTCTTTTTTGGATACAACAATAACAATATTCAAGCCTTACTTCCAAAAGATATTGGGGTCGGCTAACATGAATTGATACATGATATTACCACCCAGTGGCGGAACCAGAACAAAAAGTAAGGAGATGCTAAAAGATTTATAAAAAGAAAAAACATAGTCCGAATGAATCTATTTTTCGGCTTCTCAAGCTTATCAGCCAATTTTTTCACCAAACACGCAATTTTTTATTTCGCACGCTAAATTGTGTAATAATAAGAAAAAAGTAAAGTTGAACTTACTTTTCTGGCTGTTTGGGCTGAAGTTGGTGTAGATTTTCATTTTATCTATTTTTCATATGATTTTTCTTTATTTTAAAATAAAAGATATTTTATACATGATTTTTTCATAAATCAGCAGAATCAGCCAATTCAACTACTTCAGCCAAAACTTCATAAATTTCAGCCAGAACTTCATAAATTTCAATACAACCAGCCGATTCAGCCCATTTTAGTGTTACCAAAAAGGTTCTAAATTATTACTCTGTATTAAAATATATTGAATATAAAATTTGTGAGAAGATTACATTAATCAATAAAATTGCAAAAACAATTTTAACTTTATACCAATTCAAGCAATTAATCAAATAAACTTTAAAACAATTGAAGTAATTAATCAATAAACTTGTAAAAGAATTTAACCTTTACAGCAATTAATCAATTATAAATAAGTAATTATAGCAAAAGGCAAATAGGAAGTAGTTGAAAAAGATTTCAATTTTAAAAATAATTGCCAAACTAGGAAGTCGTAGGCTACTAGCCTTCAGAGTTCATGATCGGAGATATGGTCTAGGGAAGCTGGAGACGTCCGCTGCGACTTTGCAACACTGCAGGTATTAGATGTGCCCGTGAGGGCCGAGTTCGTCGTTTTACGAGCTAGCTAGAGACGCAGCGCCATTTTACGCGAGGAAGGAGGAACGACGAGAAATTCAACCGCGTGAATATCATTTAATGAAGAAACGACGCCGTATTTCCTTTTCCTGTGCACTTAAACAAACGACATCGTTTTAATTTGCTGATTGAATTAATTATACAAACGACATCGTTTTAGGCTCCAGCTTTCATCGTTCTCCCTGGCTCGCTGCCGCACGGCAGGTATCCCTAATTGCAAGGAAGAAGATGAAGCTATGGCGGGGTGCCAATTAGAGTACCTGATACTACTACTAAAAAATCTCCGGCGAAGGGGTGGCGCCAGCACCGGCTCGCTCCCCCTGGTTCCGCCCCTGTCACCACCAAAAGAAAAATAAAGAAAATAAAGATAAAAAAGATAAGCTATTATGAAAAAGATAATATGAAAAGAGATGAATAAACCTAAAAATGATAAAATAAAAAGGCTAAAAATAATGTATTTAAAAAGTTGTTACGCTTTCCCTTTTTGGTAAGTTTTTTCTTTAAAAATACTCAAATACCCCTTACTTTTTCCACTTTTTATCTTTTCTTTCATACTTTCCTACCATCTCTCCTACTTTTTCTACACTATTCATTACTCATACTATTTCACTCTTAAACAATGTGTCAACACCTATTGTAGCAAACAAAAAAATACGGAGGGAGTATTTTAAATTTTTATTTACATTTTTCCTATTTGTCGCGTGACAATAATATTTTATTCATATATTGTTAGTTACTTTGGTGTTTTGTCACACAAAGAAATCCGTGAAATTTTTGTCATTCAGGGATACAATGGCCCCGGTTTGGAGGCCTAGCAGAGGGGTATCAATAAAAGAGATCGGCGATAAAAGATATATTTCTTCTTTCTTTCATGAAATTGATATGAGACGTTTCTTAAAATATGGCTCGTTGATATATGATCATAATCTTGTAGTTTTGCATGAATTAAACTCGGATGATTTGCCTCTGAAAATTCTTTTACATCTCTCAGAATTCTGGGTTCAAGTGCACAATTTGCTGGTAGGTTACTTGACATTAAGAAGAGCTGCAAAAAATATTGACAATAATCTTGAAAATTTTGTCAAGCATGATGACAATGAGCTTGAGGGGGCGCTAGAGGGCTTACTTGAGGATTCGGGTCCGCCTTGGTATTAGAAAACCTCTTAGGAAAAATTAGAAGGTTCAAAAAACTAATGGGAACTTCTTATGGGTAGATCTCATATATGAAAAAGTGCCCAATGATCGATATGGGATCAGGTTCTGATAGAGAATAAGGATCTAAGGATGCAAAAGAAAGGCACGCTAGGTGTCGAGCAAAAGCAGCATCGGGTTAGGGAGGAGCTGAGACTGCAATGGGCAAAATGATGGAGGTTGAAGTTCTAGGTGAAACCGGCGTTGGAGTGAGCTCTAGACAATAGGCTCATCGGGTACACTGAAGATGGGTGACGCAAGTTGGTGGCTTTATTTCTTTTTGTTCAGTTTGATTTCCAGACTTTTTATTTCAGTTACTGTTGTGTTTTTTTTGTTTTACTAGCCAGGACACTAGGATGTAATTTAATGTGATTGTGTGTGAAGCACACAGGTGTTGTTTGGGTCAATATCTTTCTTTTGGTCACAATAGCCCACAAGCAGCTGACCACCCCTCAGGTAGGCTCTTGAGGGTCATGGACCATGACAACTCTCAGAATGGACATCCAACATAATCAATCCAAAGTATTCTCGTCTTCAGGCAAGGCCTCAAGAAAGATTTCTGTGGACCTTTGCCAAAGCCCTCGGCCTCGGTCATTTTTCATTAACACCCAACCATCACATTTAATGCCCTACCACGTATACCGATATGTCTTACATCAATGAAGTCCATTGTAGACTACCTTACACGTGTATGTGCATTTAGTGCACTTAGCATTTATGACTAGTATACGACTTGTACATGTACCAACTCAAAAATCATTAATATGACTTGCCCTTCTCTCTCTAACTTAATAGCTTTGTTTTTTCTCTACAAACCATTAAAGTATCCTGTTTTAGCTAGCTGTTACCCTTATTATTATTATTATTTAATACAACCTCAAACACAACCCCTTGTATAATACATAAATTTTAACTCTATGAATCGTATTACCCTTCATAATCTTGAACTACACCCGCTCATAACACAAGGCCATAAACATCATATATTCACTTAATTGCATTAACGTCTATGAAGGAGACGTGGACAGTTATTGTAAAAATAATTTGTGTATGGTCCGTGAATAACATTAACAACAAATAATGAATTCCTCTCTGTGGAGTTGCTGCTTATGGATGAACATGTTAGTAACATATGAATATGTAGTTAATAAAGAATTATCTATTTTGAAGGCAGCTTCTATTGATGTATTATCCCCAACATCAAATTTAATACATTCTAAACAATAATATTGCAGCTGCGAAAAATATATATATATTTTGTAATAAAAGCAGATGCAGTAAACAATTATGATTCAGGGAAATTGATAAAGTAAGCACACTTAATCATTTAAACATACTTACATGTGAGCACATATATTGCATATAGTCAAATACAACTAACTGTTGCATATAGTCAAATAAACGAAAAGCTAGGTGATCTCAAATATTTTCTTAGCAAAACCTACATGAAGTTAACTTAAATTATTACTAATTACGAGTGGGTGTTATACTTGCCTTAATTGAGCATCAGTGCACTTGTTATTGAGCATCAACCCTATTTTAATAATTTGTTGAATATTATGAGTCTATTAATGAGCATCTTGATCTCTGCTTTATATCTTCTAATTCATTTTCTTTTTCTTATTTTTTATATAAAAATTTCTTAAATCATATCTATAATCGACTCCTATGGATTTCAATATACAAATCTAATTTAATAGTATACTTTTGAAATATGCATTGATATGAAAATTGTAAGCTATACTAGTTGAGTATCAAAACATTTTCAGTGAATTGAACATCAAATTTATTCTATTGAGTAATGGAACTCTACTATTGACTGTACAAAATTTCAAAATCTCATTTGAGCATCAAAATATCTTCATTCAGTATCGTGTTCTCTACGATTTAGCATCGAGATTATAAGTATTGAGCATTGGAACTCAGCAATTGCGTATACAATTTTTAAAAACCTCATTTGAATATCAAAGCATCTTTATTGAGTATCATGCTCTCTACCATTGAGCATCGAGACTATGTATATTGAGCATTGAAACTATGCAATTGAGTATCATGATCGTTGTTCACACATGTCTTCTAATTCATTCAATTTCTTATTATTAGTTCTTCATTTTGGTAATAAAAAAATATTTATAATAACTCCTATGAATTTGAATATGTGAATCTAGTGTAATATTATACTTTTGAAATATGCATTAGTGAACACAACATCAGTACTAATTAAGCATACATAACTTACAAAATGGGTATCAAAAAATTCAATAGCTCATGTGAATTATCTAATGTGCTCTAAAGTTCATTTATGTATACTCATTCCTTTTCATCGTTATACTCATTCGAGCATAAAATAAACTCTTTAATTTCTACAATATGCACATGTAGTAGATTCATGATAAACAATTTACTAAACTATCATTATATATAACAATAAAAAACATAATGATTTCATTTTAAAAATAATTTATAATTTATCATTCTTGAATTACCAATTAATGGTGTTCTTTTTATAATGTTTACTCGTGAACATTTATTCTAAATACTATACTTATTTTAGTATAACACAAAATCCATGTAAGTAATTAACACATTGATGTGACTTTTCTCGCACAAAAACAATGTAGCAGTATAGGGTTAAAGTGCGAGTATCGTCTCCACAGGGACGGAAAAAGGTATCAGGAATTAAATAAATCCAGCGACTAAAATAAATAAAATAAATGCAATTGTGCGAGATTTGGATTTTTGGAAAATTAAAATATGAATAAGCAGCTAAATTAAAAGGCTCTTTCTAATTAATGACGAAAGGGAACATGAATTGATTTCAGGGTAATCGGATTTTTTTGTTGAAAGGAAAGCTGCTTATATTAATATCATTAGGGTTCAAATCATTACATCAAACTCAAAGACATTCATACGGACAACCACAACCTGTAAACCACTATCTCTATGAACCCTACGGCTAGACATAGAAACGACCACCCTTGAAAGAGCGATACGAATCGCTAACCACCAAACGAGTATCCAGCACTCACTGGCTATATCGATCCTTATAACAACATAATATCTAGCAGAATCGTCCCTCCTTATTTTAGTCATAAAACTAAAGAAATTACTAAAAAACATAACTACGTAAAGTAGCAAACCATGAAAAGGAAAAAACAAATTCGATTGAAAAATAACAAGTAATAACTAATGAAACATTCTTCGAAACCCTACTCACGCAATTCCTCCAAGGCGGTGGTTCAAGAGGGGGACGAAGCTTCCTCATGTCATCTTCTTCCTCCACCACCTGAGGCGGCCAAATCACGCGTGCCAATTCCTCAACCACCGTATTGGATTTCAAATTCGCCCCTTCCATAAATCGCCAAATCTCCGGTGTTCCACCCGGATCAAACACAAATGGTGTAGCATTCATCCCAATCATCAACAAGGCCAAATTTACCAAAACAAGAAAATGGCTATTGGCCCTCCCAATCCTATCCACCACAGATCGGCTGCCACCTCTAAAGTCGCTGCCTGCTCCCATCCAAACCGTCTGATCCAAACTGTCTGCAATGGTCTTGCCGGCGCTGGGACCTTCGCCTCACCCGAGTGAACACAATTGAATCGCCGCACCCTGCCCCTTTCCTCAGCCGTCCTCAACTCAGGCTATCAGAAAAAAAATAGATCCAAGCATAGCACTGCAGATCCAACTACTCAATCGGTCCGTCCGTCCCAAGAACCCTGCGTCTTCCTCACTGCGACCGTAGCAGCCACTACAGCGAACCCTCGCAGAGAACGCGAGGATTCCAAAAGCGTTTGCCGACTGGTGCAATTGCCGTTCAGACGGCTGCCTCCTCAAAAACATGTCAAAACTAAACGCCTAACCTAGGCTCCCTTCCGCTTTTTTAGCTGATCAGGCTTAATCACCTGAAAATTATTTAATTGAGCAACGCTGGTCAATACTAAGTTCTTTCCGCTCTCGCGGCGTAGAGTACAATAATTAAGGGAACCAAGTTGATCTCTCATGCGACAAGTTTCTAAATTATTACCAAAATGAGCGAGCATACGGCTCCCTAACCATTATCCATCTCTTAGCGAACGATTAAATGTGTGTGAAAGTGTTCTAGAATAAATTAGATCTCTCTTAACTTACTCTATGTGC